TAACAACATTTTAGGATCTGGGCATGAAGTCCGCAAGCATGTCATGTCATTAAAATCTGCATTAAGAGAACTGAAAAAAGAATAAGAAAAGTGACAAAATTAAGAAAAGAGACATTCTTAGACAACGAAATATTAATTTTATTTGATTTTTAATTTTTTTTATTTGTTTTCTTTTGAATTTTAAAGATAGAAGGGTTTACATTGGAAAGTAAGACAATAAAGTAAAACATCCGGATCACACCCTGAGATAATCCGAACATAGAAAGGATAGCAAGACTTGCTAACGAAACTCTCGTCTGATGGGGGACTTTCAGGCTTGGCGACCATTTTTTGGCTTCTCTTCTGTCTCGGCAATGGCTGCAATGGCCTTCAGTGTCGGATCAAATTCCTCATCTTCACATATCATTCTGACTACTAGCCTATTGGTGTGAGTAGCCAGAGGATTATTCATCATATTAGGGGCCTCTTCATCCCTAAGCATTATTGCCTTGCCTCGATGAGGTCTTCCACTACTCTCTTAAGAGTCCAATAGTCTTCCGTATCATGTCCCACTGCTCCAGAGTGGTATTCACATCTAGCATTAGCCCAGTGCGAGAAGAACTCAGGGTTTGGCTGGTTCGGGGCTAATGGCTGCAGTAGACCTAGCCTGATTAGCTTTTGAAACAAGCTCGAATATGATTCACCAACATGGGTGAACTGATTCCATCTGAGGAGGCTTTTTTTCTTTTTCTTTTTCTTTTTTTTTTGAATTTTTTTTTCATATCTTGATTTCTTTTTCTTTTTCTTTCTCTTTTTGTTGTTTTTCGCTCTTTGTTTTTCTCTATTATTTTTTGTCACTCTTTTCTTTCTTTTTCACTCAATTTTTTTTCGGTTTATTTTTTCACTCAATTTGTTTATGGCTATGATCGAATCCGATGGAGATTGCCTACGTATCATGACGCCGCATGAATCAGATCATTACGTAGTTCAGGAAAGATCAAGAATAAAGTAAACAAACTAACCCTTTTTCCTTAATGTTTTTTACTCATACACTAAACAAACCACGAAAACTTCTAAAAAGCAACATATTTTTGAGTTTTGAGTTTTTTATTTTTATCTTTTTGGAGGAAAATTTTTGAAAGAAACATTTATTTAAGAGTAAAGAAAATATTTTCGGATTTTAATTTTTTTAATATATTTCTTTTTATGTTTTTTTTTTTAGAATTTTTAAAAGAAAGACTTCTAAAGAAGAAAGAAAATATTTTTTTTTGAATTTTGATTTTTATTTTATTTTATCCGAAAAAAGACTTCTAAAGAAGGAAAAAAAATATATTTTTGGATTTTGATTTGATTTTCTTTTTCAAATGAAAGACTTCTAAAAAGAAAAAAAATATTTTTGGTTTTAATTTTTTTTTATTTGGGATTTTCTAAGGAAAGATATCTAAAGAAGGAATTAAATGAAAATATTTTTGAATTTTTAAAAATTGGGGCCGGAACCGATGAGGTTTGCCTACGTATCTCACATCCGGTGAGAATTAGCCCCGCGTAGTTCGGCCAAAACAACTATTTTTCTCTTCTTTTTTTTTTGATTTTTTAATAAAAATTAATCTTTAAAAACCATATGTACTAGACCACATCATTTGTTTTTGTTCATTCAATTGATTTATGCTAAAGTCGCTCAACGTGCAAGCCTCCCAAATAATGCAACAAGTAACACATAACATGACATAATGATCTCAACAAGGCACCTGTCCTAAAACAGAACTCGGCCCATGCGCCGACCCCTGCTAAGTCAAATGCACGTGATGCAAATAAAGCAAACCTACTAGGGATATCCGACATGATGTTTGTTCTTATAGGTTTAAATCCTTATGGAGAAGGTATCTAGACTGGCTTAATCGAGCGGACAACTCGAGCCGAAGAGAGTCAGCGTACCGGTAGCATTGCTTTCCGGCTTAGCTGATAGTGCTCCCCGCCTAAAATATGTGTGGCTAAAAAATCCTTCACCGGATGGCAAGCATTTCGGCTATCTCAAAGAAAGCAGGTTATGTCAAGCAAATGCCCAATTTTAATTTCAAGAAAACTCAGAGGGGGTGCGTGAAAAGTCAATTTATAATGTACAGTTCAACAATATCAAAGCGACAAAAAGCAAACAAGTAGCACATTAGGTCCAAAAAGAAAATCACAGTATATACAAAATTAATAAAGCCAAATAAACGTCAACATGTACAAGCTTGAATTCTGGTTGTCCCCAGCAGAGTCGCCAGAGCTGTCACACCCCTTTTATACCCCCCCAAAAAGATATGTATTATGGATTATTATGTGTTAAAGAGTTTTTCCAATTAAAGTGACAAATTTGAGTAGGGATTATTTTATTTACAGAGTCGCCACTTAGAATTGATTTTTTGGGTGTTCCAAGTCACCTTTTATTTGAATACCTAGTCAAAGGAAGGTTTGACTCTATTATTATTGGTGTACGAAAATAAAGCCCGGGTAAGGAATTTTGTTGACCGGGGAGAAGGTGTAAGGCATTCCCCGAGTCTCGTAGTTCTAGCACGGTCGCTTTATTTTGGCGCTTTAGGGTCATAAAACAGGAATTCAAGACGATGTCCAATTATACGTGTGCTAATGTCCACACCATCATAATGAATTCGGACGACTGGCCCCGAATCGCCTAAAATTCAGTGGGTTCATCACGACCTAATGAATAATAGTCATTGCTTCGCTATGCCCGTTCCTCATTTTTTGGCGTTTTAAGGCCACAAAATAAGAATTCACGACGATTTTTAATTTTTCATGTGCTAATGTCCATGTCATCTTCATGAATTCGGGTGAACGACCCCGAATCACCAAAAATTTTGCGGGCCCATCAGAAATGACCTTATGCACAATAGTCATTGTTTTCCCATGACCGTTCCTCAATTTTTAGTGTTTTAGGGTCATAAACAGGAATTCAAAACGATTTCCATTTTTCGCGTGATAATGTCCACGCTATCTTCATGAATTCGGGCGACCGACCTCGAATCGCCTAAAATTTTATTAGTCTATCAGAAACGACCTAATGAACAATAGTCATTGTTTCGCTATGATCGTTCCTTGTTTTTTGGTGTTTTAGGATTATAAAACAAGAATTCAAGATGATTCTAATTATTCGTGTGTTAATGTCCACGTCATCTTCATGAATTCGGGCAACAACTCCAAATCTTCTAAATTTTGTTGTCTCTTCAGAAACGGCCTAATGAACAATAGTCATTGTTTTGCCATAACCATTTCTCTTATTTGGCGTTTTAAGGCCATAAAACAACAATTCAAGACAATTTTCAATTTTTCGTGTGGTAATAGTAGGAGAATGGGGGAGATTGAACAAAGTAAGGGAAGGCTGGTAGCCGCTTTGTATATAATTAGTTAACGGCATCAACAATTTTCCTTCTAAGGAAATTGGAGTCACTTGTTTCGTTTTTTAATTTCTTTTTGGAGCTATTATGTAGTGTATGACATTGTCTTATCCATCTGGAGTATCTGAATATCTGGCATTCTGATTCTTGAAAAGCGATGGTGCATGTTTCTGCCCACTTGCCCCGCTGTGTAATGTATACGGAATAATGGAAAGGAACATGAAAACAAACAAATCTTTTTTCCCTCAATAAAACACAAGAGTTGACCGGGGGCGGCTCAATAAATATAGAGGCCTAAAGCAAAAATTCAACAAGATACTCTTTTTTTTATATAAAAGAAAAAAATCATATATAATTTCATTTAAATTCTGTATTTCTAGTTTTTCATATGCAAAATTATTAATAATTTTATCTAATCCATTTAATTTCTCTTGAGATATACAAGTTGTGGGAGGGCATTAAAGTTTTAACCTTTTTTGAGTTATGAGTTAATAATCGAATCCTTTCTCAATTTATGGTCTAGAGAGTGATTCCCAAAAAGATATTTTTTCTCAATGATCAACAATTTAATCGTACTTTTTTACTATGAAAATTTGTACTTTCTCATTTAAAGCACTAAATATTCTTCTAAAAATAAATTAATATATAACCTATTAGAAAAATTTGGGGCCCCAAAAATTATGAGGCCCAAAGCAGCTGCTTTAGCAGCCTTACCCTTGGCCCGACACTGGACTTGACAGCCCCACCCTGCACTCAACAATAACAATAACATACTCCCTTTGTTTCAATTTATGTGAACCTATTTCCTTTTTAGTCTGTGCCAAAAAGAATGACCCCTTTCCTTATTTGGAAACAATTTACCTTTATACAATGATTTATAGCCACACAAAATATATGTGCCTCATTTTACACCACAAGTTCAAAAGTGTTCTCTCTTTTCTTAAACTCCGTGCCCGGTCAAATGAATTCACATAAATTAAAATGGAGGGAGTATTCAGTATAATCCCATATAGTAGGATCTTGGGAGGGTGGTATGAATATAGACCTTACCACCATATCCTTGTGGAAATAGAGAGTCTTGCTCAAGAAGCACCAAACTTCACTTATTGCATCAAAAGTGGGTCATACACATATAATAACAATAACTATTAAATAAATTCTTCGGGTTGCCCAGTTGGTTTGGAGGGCGGTCATCTATACATATGACCTAGGATCGATTTCCCCCCCACCCCCATACCTTCTGGGTTGAGCATGTCGTACATGATTTGCCTAGTGCGGTTTACATCCCTTGTGTGGTTTGCAGGCTATTACCCAGGGGGAGGTTTCCCCAATGCGCACAAAGTGCTCATCAGAGGTTGAAGCGGCTGCGAGTTTCCCCTCTTACCAAAAAAAAAAAAAAAAACTATTAAGCCTCAATTTCAGACATGTCGGGGTTTGTTATAAATCGTATATGAAACGTAGAGAGTGCTCTTTCAATGTGGAAAAAATAGGATATTCTAGAGAGTGCTCTTTCAATAACCAACAACTGAAGGCTATCAAGGAAAAGAGTTCTATTTCATATTCAAAGAATGATCAATTTTTGTCTTAAAGCAGGGGCTCAAATACCAGCGTCTTCATTGATCAACATTAATAAGAATAGCAGTATTATATTATAGATATAAGTTAGCTTCTTTTACTTACATCATTTCTGTCAGAAGCTTAAGCCAAGTATTGTTTTCAAGGAAACTGCTCCTGACAAAGAAGTATTTGCTTATCTAATGGACAAATCTGTCATCATTTATCACTACAGGAGAAAATATTTCTGTCACTGTGACTGTGTACAGTTATAGATGCTTGCTGCTGCACTGCTTCATCACCTCAGCAGCAGGGTATCTTAGAGAAGTCTCAATCAATATCCTTTCTACACAAAAGTCACAGGTACAAGTACTGGAAAATGGAGACCAGGTTGAAGCACCTGAATAACCATGACTGCTAGCATTGAATAATGAGTCACTAGTACAAGCAATAATGCAGATACCTGAATCTGATCACTTCACAAATACTGGTGTGCTCTTGAACTTTTTGACATGTATTGTGCAGAGAAAGGAACCTGTTAATACAGAGACACCACTGTGTGTCAGCAACCATCATTGATCTAACTTCACTTTAAACAAGAATAGGTAATCCGTAAATTTAAGGTGTAAATGACTTCTCCGGACAACTTTAGAGAGCAACTTATGTATTTTCCCATGAATTTATGTGAGTTTGCAGGTAAGATTATATACCTCTACATTTAAGTTGTGTCAACAAAGAGTGGCTTGCCATTCTTTGGTAGATATTACTAGTAATAAACAATCCGGATGTGGAGACAATCTTGAAGCAGGTTGTTTGTTTTTGTTTTGGAATAGTAACTCTATTTTAGTATCTACGCCGAGGCACTGGATAGATAATAGAAACTAATAGATATTTCGTGCATTGTCTATTATCCGTTTTATAAATCACTTGATGCTTTCTGTGGATCCAACTTAATAAGAAGGAATATATCCTTACTTGTGTGAGGGAACTCATGAAGCCAGGATATCATTTCTGTACAAATTGTGTCACAAGCCAACGAACCTATTCAAGAAAATTCAGCAAAAGCAGGCTTGCGTTATTCTTCTAGACAAAAATCAATAAAATAGGGGCATAGATCTTTTTCTCCTTGAAAATTGGTGAACTAAATCAACACTTACAATGTTATTACGTGGATCTCGCC